GGTCACTGGCTCCCCGGGGGCGCCAGCCAATGGGCTCTTTGTGCCTCCTACACCAACTCTCCTCCCAATCCAAGTCCTGACCTCCCTCACCCCTATTTCTCTTCCCTGAGGCTGCAGTCTCCTCCCTGCAGGGCCAGCAACCATGGCATCAGCCTGCAGGAGATTCCCCCAGAAAGGCGCAGGAAGCTGGAGAAAGCCAGGCCAGGCCAGTTCACTGGGAAGTGAAGCTCCCTGGGGACAGGTACTGTGTCTTCCCTCATCCTCAGGGACCACTCAGTTCTGGCGGGGGAGGGGAGAGTGTTGTGCTTCCTGGGGGGTCAGGTCAAAACTAGGTAAGAGTTATCCGCAGGATAGCCCACTCAAGCCAAGTGTCCCTATTCCTCTCTGATTTAGGGGGCAGGGGCTGATTCATTAGCCCAGAAAAGGAATTTCCCCTAGAGGAAGCAACGATATTGGGCACACCGGTTTGGTAGGTCTGGAATTTTCCCCCAAAGCTACCCTTTCCCTGAACATAAACCAGGCTTCTCAGAGAGGTTGCTCAGATTATATACTGCACAATGACAGAATTCTGGGGATAGCATTTGTGAGGTTGTATTTGCAGTTCTGTCAGCGCCAAAGGTCTCTCCATGCAGGAATCTCTAGGCCATGATCTCCCAATGCACACTTTTCTTCCTCTCTGAGACAGCTGTCATTCCCTCAGGTATTCTGCAAGGTCTTTCCTGAAGTTGCTGCTATACATTGGATGGAAGCTGGCTGACGTCAGCTTATTATGTCAGCTTCTGTCCAGTTTCTGCCTCCAAGGATTCAGAGCCAGGAGTCTGCTGCAAGCCAGCATGTGACATTGGGAAGATCTGAAGTGCTCTCCAAGCTCCCTTCAGTGGTAGAATGAGGGGAGCTAAGTGGTTTCCACCACCCTGTGGCTCTTACAGTGAGGCTTTAGAGTGTCTTGGGATTCAGGACACTGTGGCATATGGGGGTTGCAGAAGTGGAGGATGCTCCACTCCCTAGGTCCTGTGAGACTCCAGAAGTGGGGATCTGGGATCAGAAACCCCAGGGGACATGGAGGCCTCGTGTTCTACCTGGGCAGGGGTCATCATGTGGCCTGAAAAGGACAGGGTTCTGTTTAGCACCCATCCTGTTCCCTCTCTGTCGCTCACTGTCAGAAACTGGTTCCTTCTCCAATGGGCAGAACCAAATCACTTGCCCGAGTGCAGAGAAAAGCTTGCTTTGATGCTCAGGGGGAGGGAAACTAGCTGCACCCAAACTTTGCTAACCAGAATGGCAGATGAATAGTTTATTATCTACTTAGCTGGGTGTTGGTGAAACGATAATCAAAAAAAAACATCATTTCTCCTGAGATCTTTGCACCAAACATCCATACCTAGTTCTGACAATCCCCCACTGAAGTTTCCTTTGTGGAACTCTGAGGTGCCAGCACCTGGACTTTGGCATGTTTTACTCTTGCTGTCTCTGTCATTGGCACCGTTTCTGGAGGAAGCTGGCAGCAGACACTCACTAGGTAGTGAGTGTCCAGGACCTGGTGGTGTGCATACAGAACTTGAGATGGTGTTGGCAGAATCTGAAAGAGATGAAACCAAGTCCTCACTAAGAGAGGCACAGATGGTAGACCAGCAGCATCAGCAGCATCTGGGAGACACACAGAACCCCAACACCCCCGCAACAGAATCAAGTCTGCCTGTGAAGGACACCCCTTAAAGCTGCACAGGCCCACAACAACTTCTTAATCTGAGAATGCCGAGGACAGAAACAAGAAATTGAGTTGGTTTGATTTGGCTCATGGGATTCTTTGTTTTGAGCTAACATGTGAAAATCAATTTAAAGGTGGTACACACATACCCACACATACCAACACCCACACCCACCCACACACATACCCCCTACACACATACCCCCCAACACACACATACCCACACACACACCCACAATACACACACACACACACACACACACACACACACACACACACCTCCCACACACATACCCACCCAACCCCCCCCACATATATGTACATGTGAGGGGGTGAGGGGCAGGTGAGGGGGCACACGCATACCTTCAATGCCAGCACTGAACAGGCAGAGGCAGGGGGATCTCTGAGAGTTTGGAGCCAGCCTGGTCTACAGAGTGAGCTCCAGGCCAGCCAGGGCTGCCAGTAAGAACCTGTCTAAACAAAACAACTATGTGTACCTACATATGTAATATACAAACTAGGGCTAGAGAGATAGCTCATTGGTTAAGAGCACTTGTGGATCTTCCAGAGGACCCAGGTTTGATTCCCAAGACCCACATAGAGGCTCACAATGGTCTATAACTCCAGTTCTAGGGGATCTGACACTCTCTTCTGGTCTCTGCAGGCACTGGAAATGTATGTGGTACACAGATACACATGCAGGCAAAACACCCACACACATAAGATAATTTTTAAAATACATATAAAAAATTTAAATTTCTTTAAAAGAAAATGTGTATCTACCCCTGAGTATCTACAAGGCACCAATTCAAGAACTCTAGTGGATACCAAATTCCTTGGATCTCAAGTCCCTTATATAAGACATAACTTTTTGTTTTTGTTTTTGTTTTTTCCAAGACAGGGTTTCTCTGTGTAGTTCTGTAGACCAGACTGGCCTTGAACTCAGAGACCCACCTGCCTCTGCCTCCTGAGTGCTGTTAAAGGCTTGTGCTACCACCATCCGGCTAAGACATAACTTTTTATATACTACCCTTGCACTTTATCCTGTGTACTTTAAGTAATTTCTACATTATTTGTAATATATATGGTAGGGAATGATAAGAAAAAAAATCGTACATGCTTAGTGCAGATACAACTTCCTAGGCCTAACTGCACAGCACACATACATGGTTGGCTGGGTTAACATAAAAACCACAGTTCTCATCCTAAGGAGAGTAAGAGATAATTTATACTGGGGCCGTTTTGAGTGACCATGGCCTGGGAACACAGATTTTGGTTACCCCAGATTCCATGCCCCAACATGGAAGCAGTTTCATAGGGTTTTTATAGTTTTACAGAAAGAAGAAAGTCACAAATCAAGCCAACTTTAAAATACATTAGTCGATGTGCCGGAGAGGTGCCTACATTGAGATCAGGGAGCTAGTCTAAAGGCCAAGATGCTACTTTATGACTAGGCTGGCCTGGAACTCACAGAGATCCACCTGCCTTTGCCTCCCAAGTGCTGGGATTAAAGGCGTGTGCCACCACCGCCCTGTTGAGGTTTTCATTTATTATCACAAGATATTAGTTTGGATACAGAGGGGGGCAGGAATGTCTGTTCCAGCAGGCTAGAACTAGCTCAAGATAAAGTAATTGGCCTCTGAACTTACAAAATTCCAATCTCTCCACAGTAGTGAAATTCCAATCAGTCTGTCAGTTCCTAGAGTTCCTTGGTCACAGGCAGACGGGCTTCTTTTCAGGAATTTTGTTCACAGCTGAATCCGTGGATAAGGCATAGGAAAATACAAAGGGCTGCTATCTTAGACCCCCCTCTTTCCCTGAAATTGAAAACACCATGTGGGGCTTGCATCACCCCTTGGCCAGAGTCACTTTAATCCAGGGTGCCACCCTCCAGGTCTCATGGTCCTTATTCCTCCCTGTTAACTGCAAACACCATGGTTTCTTTTGAGGATTTTTTTGAGGACAGCCTTGTCTGGCTTCCTCTGACATTAGGCCTAGAATGTTAAGATCACAGCTACTTTCAGAGCCTGCTTGTTCCTCCTCTTCCTTCTCCTCCTTTTATACTAAACAATGACTACCTTCCCTTTCCTAATGGCAATAATAATAATAATAATAATAATAATAAGTGTAGCTTTCAGTTCTGGTTAGCTAAGTGATGCTGCTGTAGACTATTTAGTACAATTTAAAATTTTTAACTTTGTTCATAAATGATGAGTTGAAGCTGAAAACAAAGCAAAAAAGATTTAATGTGCACACTTGCACAACAATTTAAAAATACACTTACGTAGTTAATTATCTTTCATAAAAGTTTTCTCTGTACTTGGGTTCCAGGGTTGAAGGGCAGATTCCAAATTTCTGGCCTTGGACCTGACTGGGGATTAGCTCTCAAAAATCCTCTCCTTCCTTCCCTCCTGTTCTCTCCCACGCTTCCACCTCTTCCTGCCTGGGGCCTGGAATAGCTACTAGTGTGTAATTCAGGAAGTCTCAAGGAAGAGTCACCCTGGGTTAGGTGCTGGAGGACTAGCCTGGGCAGGCTGGGGCAGGCAACCCCAAAAGAAAGGAGGGATAAACTGAAGTCCATACACAGCTTGAGGCTAGAGGAGGAGTGGACGCAGGTCCTCTGATTCCTTTGCATCATTTCCAGGCCAGCCCGTAATGGTCTCAGGCAACTAGATGTGATGGGCTTAGAAGGTGGGCCCTTGCTCCAGAATTCAGAGGCAGTGGGAGAAAGGGAAGAAAGGTTAAAAGGTTCCTCACAGACCTCTCTATCCTTCACTTTCCCCTTCTCTGCCCCTGTTTTCCTTCTCCTCTATCCTACAGCCCTCTTTGCCCTGTTCCTCCCTGCCTTTCTCTGAAGTGTCCCTCATTTCTGAGGACTCCCCACCCCTGACACTGGGTTTAGATTACTAGCTGTCAATCTTAGAGCCCTGACTCAAATATTCCCTGCCTCCCATTCTGTTGTCCCCAGACCCAGGCAACTCCCAGCCCATTAAAGCACCTGACGTGGTCACTGGACACCCTACATTTTCAGGTGCACTTCTACTACCTCGGCCAGTTGGCCTGCCCCAGAAGCCCACACTTGGGGCTGTTTTTGCCTTTGGGATGGCTCTGTAGCTGAGACTCACCATAGCCAAAGCAGGGACTTGCCCCAGCTGCTGAGTGGATTCCAAAGTATACCCCAGGGCTCACTGGCGCCTTTCCTGTGTGCTGCTGTTTCAGTCTGGGTCCTGCTCTGCCTGCTTATATGGGGTGAGCCCCAGGGACCCCCTCCTTGAGGAAGTGGGGTGAGCTGCACCTTGGCAAGGTCTTGTAACACAACATTGTAGGGTCAACCATATTGATAGGGATCTTCTGGGCTTTGCACCCAGCATCCCAAGTGGTGTATCCTGGTGTTTGGGTCCTGGGATGGTAAAGGCTGAAATAAAGGTATGGTTCCTTCCATCACATGGGATGTGGTCCTGTTAATCCCAATAGATGAGAATAAAAACAATACCACAATTTCGGGCCAAATTGAAGC